CTTTTGTTGCATATTTTAGAGTACAATGCTCAGGACATAAAAAAATTCACTTGTTTAATGTAGAGTGGTATGCAAAAGTATTTTCTAAAAAACTTGCACAAATTTACACTACATGAAGAGCTATAACTTTGTCCCTTGCTCCCTCATACAAACTTAGGATTTTCAGTTTTGTTTTTTTTTTAATTTGGCCAAGCTAGCAAATGTGAGGTAACATTTAATTGTGTTTTCTCTTTTCTTTTTTTACCACTATTATTTTTTCTTTTCTATTTCAAAATATTAAAGGGATATAAAACTTTTTGTTGCATGGAACAAAAAGCATTGTTGTAATGCTCAAGTCAGAGAAATAAGTGTGTCTATCGCCTGAATAGTGTTCATTGTACCTGTTAGGCAGGTTTTGCCCTCTCCTCCGCTCCCCTCACCCCTGCTTGATTTCCAATGACTTTCATTTCCCTCTGTGCACATGTGCACCTTCAGTTAGTTCCTACTACAAGGACATGTGTTGTTAGTGTTTTCATTCATAGAGATATTTCATTTAGGTCAATGGTCTCCAATTCCTTCCAATTATTACAAAAAGTATCAATCTATTTTTATGACTGAGTAGTACTCCATGGTATACGTATACCACATCTTGTTAATCCACTCATGCATTGATGGGAATGGGTTGATTCCACAATCTGCAATTGTGAACTGTGCTGCAATAAACATTCAAGTGCAGTTAGTACAGGTGTCTTTTTTGATAAAATGACTTCTTTTTCTTTGGGGTAGATACACAGTAGTATGATTGCTAGATTGAATGGCTGGCCTACTATTAGTTCCCTGAGCAATCTTCATACTTGTTCATACATGTTTCAAACTTGTTCATACATGTTTCAAACTTCATACATGTTTTCCATAGAACTTGTACTAATTTGCAGTCTCACCAACAGCATGTAAGCATTTTTATCTCTCTGCATCCATGCCAGCATCTATTGTTTTTAATAAAACCATCTGACAAGGGTAAGGTTGTCTCTATTACAAATGAGGTTAAGTGTCTTGGATATCTTTATTAGCCATTTTCTTCATCTGTATGTGCCTATTCAAGTCTTTTGTATAATTAAATCAGATCATGTATTTTTATTGGCATGTGGAAGTTCATGTTTTTAATTCAAGATTTGTCGTCCTTGGGTGTTTTATATGTTTTGCAAATATCATATGATATCTTTTGATGACCAAGAGTTCTAGATTACAGTAAAATCAAATTTATTTAGCTATTCCTTCATGTGTTAAGAAAAATGTCTCTAAAGTAATAAAAACAATGGCAGTTTAGTGTCTTTCTTTTACATATATATAAATTGTGTATGCTAGGTGTTCCAATAGGAATAGCCATCACCTTTCTCAGAGGGAAATTTACAGTATTTGAAAAGTAAGTACGACATCATAGAAAATATCTTTAGTCATGCTTTTTTTCTAGTTTTTATCATGAATCGCTATTAAATGTTATGAAAATCTGTGGCATCTATTGAGATTATCTAATGATTTTTCTCCCATTATCAATATAGTCTATTATACCATTTAATTTTTGGTATAAATACAATTGGTCATGAAGTAGATCATTTTTACATATTACTAGAATGAGTTCAAAATCTATAAATTGTTTCATCTGTGTTCATGCCTGATACTGGCCTATAATGTATACTTCATTTCCTGTCTTAGATTAGATTCTGGAATCAAGTGTATCTTTGCCTTACAAAATAAATTGGAAATCATTTCTCTCTTACCATACCACAAACAGAAAATTTTTTTTAATTTGAATTGGAACCATTCAATCCTTGGACATGTTGGAAGAACCTGTTTGTCTTATACAATCAATACTGTATATATTCAATTTAATCCACATATTTATCACTTCTTTCACTTTTGCTTTTCCTTCTTTCTTGCCCTCAGATCTTCTTTCTTGGATCTTCCAGCTGAGAAAACTTTCTTTCTCCCTAAAGTACCAGTATCTCCTTATAGTACTTTCTGCTACTGGTGAGGCAGTCCGGGTTCAACCAGAGAAGAACCAGTTAGAGAGTGTATGTTTACATACACACACAAGCTGTGTGGGTGGCTTACATATGAATGTGAATCAGCTTACGTGATAGTGGGGGCTGGCTGAGCCCAGTCAGTAGGGAAAGATAAGCAGTCAGAAAGAAATATCATGGGCAGACTTGAACCCGTGGGCAAGGGCCAGGGCTATTATCCGTAGGTGAATTCTAGTCTCTCTCAGGGATTCCCTACTCTTGTTTTTACAGCCTTCCAAGTGTTTCAGACAGCCCCACCAATTAGGTTATTGAGTATAATCTGTCTTACTTACAATCAAATGATTAGAGACTTTAATTGCATCTGCAAAATTCCTTCACAGCAAAACTTAAATTAGTGTCTGACTGAATAATTGAGAACAGCAGACTAGCCAAGTGGACACAAGTGGCAAATAGGGTGAATTTCCTCATGTCATTCTTACAATTAAGAGGTGTTTTAGCTGGCTGAGGATTCTAGGGTTTTTTTTTCTCAACACACTGAAGATACCATGACAATACCTTCCAAATTCCGCCACTGCTGATGTGAAATCAGCTGTCAATAAATTATTCCTCTGAAGGCAATCTTTTTTCTCCTGTTATTTTTTTTTAAATTTTCCCTCATTCTTTAATGTTTTATAGCTGAACATGTTGTGTATGGGTATAGATTTCTTTTCTTTCTTTTTTTTTAGAGACAAGGTCTTGCTCTGACTCAGGCTGGTCTCGAACCTGTGAGTTTAGGCAATCCACCTGCCTCAGCCTCCCAAGTGCTGGGATTACAGGTGTCAGCCACTATGCCCAGCCAGGGTGTTGATTTCTTTTTCTTTTTCCAGCTTTAATTTGTTAGACTTTTTCAGTTTATAAAATGGTTGGGTCTGACAATTAAGTCTGTGAACTAGCCATACATAAGTTGACAGTATTGTACAAACTAGTCTGCAAGGTTCACACTGTACACACTTTACACTCTTCTCTTAATCTTGCTTTTCTTACTCAATATCTCATAGAAATCCTTCAATTCCGCTGATACAGTTCTATTTTCTCTTTTATTGACTGTGTTGTATTCCATGGTGTGAATGTACCACAAGTTACTCAATCATTACTGTGTGAAGATTTTTGCCTTTCAAAACAAAGACTCTTTGAACATATACCCTCATTACACCTGCTTTGGTGTCTATGTGTGCTCAGGGGAAAATCTTTCCACAGATTCATCAAACAGGATTAAGCAAAAGAACCACATACTACAAGTATATCCATCCTTTCTTCAATAAGAGTTAAGAACAAACTTTACCTGGGGACTAATATCAAACCTGCCCTGGATCTTCAACCTCCATCATCATCAAGTTAAGGACTTTGAATGGTTACACAAGGTCCTATGATTCAGAAAATGGGGAGCAGAGACGCCAGGCAATCCTCAAAGGACATGCAGAGCCAGCAAGAAATAAACCTTTGTAGAAAAATTTACTATGTTTTCTTAACTTTATCAAATGGAATCTAGTTACAAAAACTCATGGTCAAAGGGAAGTAACAAGTTAGATTTTCTACCCATGATTCATTCTTTGATCCCCATATACAATTTCACCTCCACAAACCAGTTTTGTAGTGGAAGATAACATTAAAAGGGAAATAATATGGAACCCTACAGGCATACACTGTATTACTAGCACAAAACTGTACTATGCTACACTTCAGCACTAATAAAGCATTATCATTGATCTTCCTTTTAATCAATTCCTTACTTCAATCCTAGGAAGTAAGGCTAGGTGCAGTGGCTCACATCTGCAATCCCAGCCCTTAGAGAGGCTGCAGCAGGAGGATCACTAGGTCAGCAGTTCAAGATCAATCCTGGGAAGTAATTCAGTCTAATCTTGGAGTATTCTAGGAACAAAAGACTCCTAAAGTAGTCCATTCCATTTTTGGAAATTCACAAGACAGTTGTGATGCTGAAATCCATTCTCTTAAAGTTTATGTATAGAATAGCTCTAACCCTTTCCTCAAGGTAAAACTTCACATATTAGAAGACAGACAGATCTCCCACAGAATATTTTCTTATCTCAGATTATTTTTTTTAACTTTCTCAGAATAGACAGCAGTATTAAGTTGTCGCCATGCTGATTTTTCATGACCTAATTTGAAATTTATTTTGAGTAGCATAGTATTATTTCTCCTAATAGTTCAAAGAAATTGCTACTAGAATTTTAGCATCTCAAGGGCACTACTGTATTTTTAATTCATGTTTGTATTCTGGCGGGAGCACAGTTTGTAACATTGTATGACAAGTTCTTCATTAAATGTTGAATTCACATGGATAAGTTTATACTTAAAACTGTCATGTAGAAAAGAAAAAGCAAGTGTTACGAACTTAGTTTACATTATGTAAACAGAAACTATGACACTCCAACTTAAGAAACTTGCTACCATCATACATTGGATTGATACAAGCAGTTCATCTAAGATTTCTGAGGTCAAGCTTCTGCTTTTTTTGAAATAACAATTATATTAACAAAAAAAAACATGACATATATCAAAACTATGAATTTTACTTTGAATTTATGCTTACGAAACTTAAAAGTTAACTATTCATTTTATGAATTATTTTCTAAATTAGATTGTACTAGAGCCATCCTATAAAAAATAGTTTAGTTACCACATCAATCTACCATACTAAATTACTTCTAAGATGTGCTACAAAAAAACAGTTAAGTTTCTTTTCTTCTGTGCACATAAAACTCTTTCTCAGTGAGATCTTAACCTTAACAACTTTTGATGAGGATTTTAATAGCAAAGTTATCACACAATATTTCTTCAGCATTAGGATATAACTATCTATAAAGTTACAAAAGAGAGAAACATTTCCTGAAATTCTAGAAAAAATATTACTCATAGTTTGAACATAGCTTTATGATAATAAAATTGTGTAACAGTGACAATACTTTGTTACAAAAGATAAATGTGGAAGTCCACTCTTACCTGCTTAAATAGTTGGAGGTTAACTGCAGTTTCCAAGAACTGTTTCATCACACTTGAGCGGTGCTTTACAAAACTCTCCTCACAGAAAGTGATGGGCTCACCCTAGATGGAAGTAAAGATTTTAAGGGCATCAATAAAAGGTCAGTTAGAGAGAATCACTCCCTTTAGGGAAGCACAGGAAGAGTCACACAGGGAGTATAAGACACAGAAACAGACCCTTCCATAGAACAGCTGGATTTCAGGGTGATAGAAATCTTCCTCCATAAGCCTACAGTGTAAATTTCTGATCAAGGATCCCCTGGGCCCTTAAAATTACTTAATTTCATTCTTTCAAATCCCCTAAAAATAAAGATTTGAATTATGAGTATCAAAAACAGGATGCATACCTGTAAAGGACCAATAATTTCATTTAATCTTGATCAGAAAACATTCCTCCTATAACAACTGCTGCATGATTTTTGCCATTTATAGTAGCTTTTATGATCATTTATTTATTTTTAATTTAATGAAAAGATTTTCCAATCACCTTATCTTAATGATTGCAAATACAACTCTGATTGGATACCCTTCCAGGAAAGTCCTACCTGGCATCTGCTTTCATTAATCCTTGTCAAGTATCCTGTGGTAACTCCACTAAATGCTCCTCCTCTCAATTCGCAAAAACTTAAACCTCAAGTCCTACAGAATCTACCTGTTCCACTTAGTCCCCTACATGCTGCGGGAAATCATCACTCACTGGCTGATCCCCACCACCTGCTCATGCCTCATCAGCACCATGCTTCCCCTGCCCACTCAGCCATGAAGATAAGTAATCAGCGTTATGATCAAAAGGAAACCAAAACTAATGACAATGATCCACTCATCACAATGAATCTCATAGCAATCTTTATGCTGCAGTCAAAAGGAAAAAATGAGCACATCTGCCCTCTAACAGGACTTTGAAAAAAATAACAATTATAATTTAACTTTAAGGAAGACTCAGTGCCTTAACGAGAAATATATTAAAGTAAAATTCTAACAATAGGTTACTGCATAAATAAAATAACAAGAGTAACTATCTACATAATTCAACTGTTGCTATATTCTGATAAAATAAATGACACTATAGAACTGCACTGTCAAATATAGTAGGCACTAGTCACATGCACTATTTAAATGCACATTAAGATTAAATGAAATTTAAAATTTAGATCTTTAGTCATATTAGCTACATTTGAAGTGCTCTATAGTCACATGTAGCAAATGGGTATTGTATCAGATAGCAGAGATACAAAAAAATTCCTTTAGGATAAAAGGTCTTGGATAGTGACTATTATAGAAAAAAATCAAACAATTATTATAGAAGGCAATGCAATAATCTATTAAGTGTTGTACTCATAAGCCACCAGCTAATAATCCATAATAAAAATGCCATTATAGTGGGAAGAGGCATGAAGAAAAGTTGATTAATGAATACAAATACACAGAAGAAACGACACCTAATGTTAGATATAAGTAAGATGACTGATTATTACAACCTATTGAACGTTATTTAAAATAGCTGGAATTGTCAAATGCTTTTAGTATTAAAAAAAAAAAAA